CATGCGGACACGTTTATTCACCCACAGACATTTCCTGAGCATCTACTATGCACCAGGCACTTTCATCAAGGGGGATGAAGAATGAGACACAGTCCCTGCCTGTGGGGACTCTAAGACCAAGGGCTCTACTCCAGCGCAAAACAGCAGCCTGCAGGCATGTTCCCGAGCTCCCCTGGCCAGCACACCCCCTCAGTTTCGGAGGCCAGGCACAGGTTCTGGCTGCCCCCCACCCCAGCAGCCCTTGAGGTCGCAGGCAGGTAACTGGCCACAGGGGGCCGGCAGAGGCCGGAAGGCAGAGGGGTGGGCACCCGGGAGGAAGCGCCAGATCAGCAGGAGGCAAGTGAGTGGACGGAACACATGCAGTTCCGGCAGACCTGGGAAGGCTGAGGGGATGTGACCCGAAGCCCAGGTGAACCCAGCGTGGCTGCGACCACCTTTGTTTGGGGAGAAGCGGGTGGACAAAGGAATAAGTAACACCCCTTTGCAGAGTGCACACGTCGGACGCAAATGCAGATACAGGCCAAGTCCCACCCACCTGGTCCCCACTGGTGCAGCCCCAGAAAACTGTCCCTTGTGAACACATGACTTCAGACACGCTGCCCTCCACCCTGCGTCTCTTTTGGTCACGTGCAGATATTTATCGACTCTGAAGCTCCCACAGACAAAACAGTGGGGTTCTGGCCTCTCGCCATCCCCAGGCCCTTTGCAAAGAGACTCAAGGCAGGAGCTCAGCACAGCCAAGCCACCTCCCTGCTCCTGGGCGTCGCAATTAACTCCGGCCTGGTCCGGGGGCTGCCGGGAGACAGCCGGGCAGCTGCCACGCAGACCCCAACAGCAGCAGGGGAGTCCTCACCACAGTCCTCTGGAAAGGGCTTCGGGGACGTGGCATGGAGGAAGCGCCCCCCACTCCTGGTGGGTAACTGCCGGGGCACAGAGCGCGGCCCCGATGAGGGCCTGGAGCAGCCAGTCCTCCTCCTGGCACCAGATCCCATCCCAGCCCTGAGGCGGATGGGCCGGGGGGACCCATGGCCGTCCCCCAGGGTGCCCGGAGCTCTGGCATGGGCGCCCTGCTGCCTAACTCTCTCTTGGAGGCAGATTAACTGAGAGTTAATCTGAGTTATGTAACCACCACTCCCCACTCACGGCCTCGTGACTAACCAGCCCCTTCGGATTCCTGGAAGGGGTCGCAGAGGAAGGGAGAGCAGCAACACGCAGCACCTGCACCGTCTGCTCCGGCCCGAGAGAGCCCCCGGCCCGGCCTCCTCCCCGGGCCTGGATGGCTTCAGGCAGGAGAAACCCTCTCAAGCCAGACTTCAAACATGAAATCTAGATCAAGGATATATTTGGCTTTCCCAGCTAATCTTTACATCGGTTTGGTCTCTACTGACTTGTAACCCTTTGAAGCAAACTTGGCAACTACGTATTTAAAACAGATGACTCTTACGTAACCCCAGAGAGGAGCCCCTGGGCTCTGGAAGGCTCAGCTCTTTGTGGGTCGGGTCGGGGTTTTGTGTTTACCCACTTTGTCATGACCCAGGGTCACGCTCCAGGTACCCTGTGGTTTTCCCACAAAAAGCCCATGAAATGCAGGGCCCAGGAGCACACGGAGCCACATCTGCCAAACGCCGCCGTTTGTGTCCGGGTCAGAGGGGCTGGGCAGATGAGGCCGGGATGGGGCAGAGCCGTCCCTCCAGCGGCCCGTGCAAGGAAGACGCAGGTGCGTGCGCTGGGGGAAGCGAGCTGCTCTGTCTCCAGGGACCCGGAGAGCTCAGGGAGGCGTGGAGCTATCTCAGTCCCTCGGGGGCCTTGCCCTGCTCCTCTCTCCAGTGCACAGAAGAAAAGGCAGCAGGTGATTAAAATAAACAAACAGCAGGGCCAGACTGGGAGGAGCCTGCCCCCCCCCAAGACAGCGGATCCCCAAGGTGGGGATGAGCATGATGGGAGGGGGATGGACCAGTGCTGCCCGAGGACCTGGGCTGCCTCCTAAATTTGCGATCTATCCCAGGATTATTTTCCCCGGTGAGCCCCATAGCCGCTGGCACTAGAAGGGTTCCAGTTGCAATCAAGTTGGTGGCAGGAGCTGGATATCAGCACGAGCCCGGATTCGCCGGGAGTGCAATGTTTGCGGACAGAGCGTTTGATTTCGGCCACTCAGCTCAGCTTCACAGCCCCAGCTGTCAAGGGACTTCACAGTGGGGACGGTGGCAGCCAACCCAACGCATCCCTGCTGCGAGGCCCAGACATGGCACAGCGCGCACCAGAGGGCTGGGGGAACTGAGAATTGTGTCACCACGCACAGCCAGGGCCTCCCAGACAGAGGGGCAGTGGAGCCGTGGAGTGGGAGAACAGATGGAACGACCCTGAGGGCCAGGGCCAGGGCTGGGCATCCGGATCGCAGCCTGAGTGCTGCCTAGCAAATGCCCTGGGTGGCCGCTCCCAGCCCGGGAGCAAGCCACAGCCTCAGCGGGCTGCCACCTCAGCGGCCACTGGCACAGGCAGCCAAACCCTGAGCTCAGGTGGCAGCTGGTTGAGTAAGCACTTCCCTGCCCGGCGAGCTCTGACACAGCCAGCAAGCCGCTGGGTCTCCTTCAAGGGCTGCCTTTCTCTGAGTCGATGGAGGGTATCTTTGGAGCTTGGGTACAACCACCCAAAAAGACATAAAAGCAGCTAATAAAACCCAATCTGTTTCTCCCTCCTAGAATGAAGACTCAGTTCCAACGCAGAAGCAAACAACCAAGCGGGACTTTGTCTCCAGAGCTGGAGCTACACTGAGTTACACTGAGCCTCTGCCCTGGCAGAGCAAGTGCGGCCTCCGCCACCTGGGCTGGAAGCTCAGTGTCACCTGTCCTGACTGGTCTCTGAGCCTGGCAGCAAGACGGACAGTGCTCATCCGGGAGCATGGAGCGGCTTGCAAGCAACGGTGAAGAGCTGTCCTGAAAGGAAAAGTGCATTTTCTAGATCTTCAGCAAGCAACCCCTGGGCTCTCAGTCCCCGAGTGCCTACTGTGATGCAAAACCACCCAGACCCTCTGGGCACAGCCCTCTTTCTTCTGGCCAGGAGACAGCACTCACAGACCTAGCTCTTCCCAAATAGGTGACAGCTGGTCCTTAAAGGCACACTTACAGAAAAACCTCCTGTGCTAACATCGAGGGGAGAAAACAAAAGGTCAACCTTCAAAATCACCAACAGAACTATTCCCTAGAGCAAAATCCCAAGCTTTTACTTAGGGATGCTTTTACAGGAACTACTTTAGTGAATTCTGAACCCAAAGAGAGGTTGCTTTCCATGATCTCTGCTCTCTTCTCCCTTTGTCAACACGTCCTAATCTTCCAAGCTAGCAACTTAGCAATCAAAAAAATAATGTCTGTTCAAATAAGTTGCCATCAGGGATCAAGTGGCAGATGGCAGCTCAGGAGGCATCTAGAAGCGGAAGGCGAGACGCTGGCGGGGGTGGGGACCTGTTTGGTCATTCACGAGGCCAGGGAGGTCTTGCTGAGAGCTGTCCAGGCAGAACGGTGGACAGCAACGGCAGGGACCTGGATCCGGGTCACGCCGGCAAGGCTGTCCTCGCTCCATTTTGCCTACATCCCAGAACCGCCCAAGCCCAAACCTTATCTAGCCCAGGCAAGCGCAGGGAGTCAGCCCAGTCAATACCCAACACCCAACACAATGGGCTCCATGGTTAACCTCTTACAGCCCACCGCGGCAAACGAGCCCGGCCAGTGGGAGAAGGAATGCCAGTAATAACCTTTGACAATTTTCCCTAGATGTGCTAAACGGCGTTCACTCCTGGGTGCAGCATCAGCTCATAATTCAAAGGTAGCCAGAAAACACTTGGCATCCCCTGTCCCCTTCCGATTTCTCAAAATCAGGACACACGCACTTCATCCTCCCTTAGCCTGGCTCCCCCAGCTTTATCTCGGGGTGGGGGCGGCCAAGGCGGCTTGCTCCAGCAACTACCAGCGCCTCCGGCTCCCCACCGCGGGAGCGCAGTGCATCCCAGTGGACAAAGTCGAGAACCGCACGCAGCTTCCTCCGCCTCCACCTCTGTCCTCTCTGGTCCAAGCCGGGACCCAAACGCACCAGCTCCGCGGAGACCCCCGTCACGAGGGCGACGGCTCCGAGGCAGGCTGCCCCTCAAAAGAACAACTGTGCTCGCGTGGGTCCAACCCACCCAAGGCAGGGGCTGGAGAAGCCCAAGTGCCCGGGCGACTGGGCAAAGTTTGCCGAGAAGGGTCTTTCTGGACACCCCCCACCGCGGGTTCCGGGCTCAAACCCCCGTTCCAGCTGGCCCTAGAGTTCGGGACACAAACAAGCCGTGGGGCGCGCCCGCAGGTGTGTGTGCGTGTGTTTGGAAGGGGGTGCCTGCCCGCGCTCCCCCAGAGCCTTGGCTCTCCCGCCCCAGCTGCCCGCCAGCTGTGTGCGCCCGCCGGCCCGGAGGTCACCCGCAAACAGCTGGATCGGCAGCTGGGAGCTTCGGAGGCCCCCGTTCAGCCCCCGGCCCGAGAAAGGGGAAGGGCGGCTGGAGTGGCTGTTTGGTTCTGATTTCCTCTAACTCCGCCTGCAAGCTCTCGCTGGGAGTCGGGAGCTCTAGCTTTTCCTGGCAGCCCCGGCCCCCGCGCCCACCGCGCCCAGCGGCCCGTGCCTCGCTCCGGGCCCGGGAAGGAGGCGCGCCGGGGCGACCGGCCAGGACACTGCGCTGCTGGCTCCCGGAGCTGCGGGCGCGCCCGGCCGGCCCCACTGCCCGGGTTGCTGGGGCGGGCGCCGCTGCCCGGACCCCGGACGCGCGGAGCCGGGAGAACCGGCCGCTCCCTGCGAGGCCACCGCGGTCTGCGCCCCGGGCTCCCGGCGGGCGCCCCGACCCGGCTCCTGGAGCACCCCGCTGGCCGCTCCCGGGAAGCGAGGAGGGGGCCCTGTATTTGCCACGCTGAGGAAAGCGCCGCTTCAGCGCAGCCGGCACCCACGCACCCCCACGCCCCAGCGCCGGCCGGGTTGCTCACCTGAGTCCTAAAAGCTGTTGAATCCACATGGTCACGTTTCGGGGAGCGGGGCCTCAGACCTGGCTCGCCCCGGCCATCTGCGCGGCGCCCGCGCC